GAGCCTTGAGCAACCTGCTCTGGTGGGAGGTGTCCCTGCCCAGGGCAGGGGTTGTGATGAGATGATCTCTAAGGTCCATCCCAACCCCTTAACATTCTATCATTCTATGATTCCTGTTTGCCTCGTTGGAATGAAGCTGAGCAATGCACAACACTGCACACCAATTCAGTGACCAGTGTAGAAAGCTGTCCTAGCTCTCCCTTGGCTTGTTCACATGCTAAGAGGATCTTCAGTTTTGAAGATTGTTTATTTGGTGATTTTTCTCAAGGCTAAAAGAACCAAGACTTCCTAGCATTGCATGCCCAGCACACTCTTGCACCGTATTTAGACTGAAGGTCTGTTCCTGGATATGCTTTCATTTTATTTGTTGATTTGATGGAGCTTAATGCTCTATATGTGTCTGTGTGTGTATATATATTTACAGTCTAAGACTTGATGAGATAAGCAGTTGATGAAATGGTTGGGAGGGAAGTATTGGTACTTAATATTTGAGGTATAAAAGGAGGAAGTAAATTGATTTACTATACCATTATTAAATTACATACACATTTCAGTTCTCTATTTCTGTATGCAGAATAGCTTGAAGCCAGTGTAAGTTGCTTTAGCAACGTGATTTTGATTGTAAGTCTAAATGTTTTCGGTGTTAACACTTTGAAATTATGTTGGGGTTTTTTTCCCAGTTTTTATTTTCTCTTGAGGGTCTTTCCTTAACCATCCATAAAGCTGGAGCATCTTCTCATAAGGTCCTGTTCTTTCACACCTTGCTTAAGGAAGGATTTTGCTCTGCCCTTGAGAAATGCATCTTGCCCACTTGCATCCATCTCTTCAGAATGCATCCTTGAAGTGGGTTTTCCTAATCAGATGCTTCAGCTAGATCAGAATCTGTGCTGGTTCCCCCTTTGCCTTCACCACAGAAATAGGATGATCACATTAAGGTCCTTTCTACCCTGTCCCCATTTTATATCTCTTCTCATTTGTTAATAATACCTTGACTGTTGGCCTACCACTCCCCATGATGCTATTTTGTGCACAGGTAAAATATTCAGAGAGCTACTTTTCTGCTTTCTCCAGTTTTGTCTAACTCCCTTTTACAGAAAAATTGGAAGGAGGATGCTTTAATCCTCTAGAGATCTACCAGCACATGATATGAATTACGGGAGCTGATGCAGCAGCCTGTTGATGTGGTCTCATTGCCCTTTTGTTCCCTACATGGCTTTATCTGCTGAGGACCTGTAGTCCTCAAACCAGGGGCTTTTGAGGGCTGTGGGGAGGTCACTTCTGCATGTGATGGCAGCCTGCCCCTCATTTGGGTCCCTCAGCACTCACATCCCTGCAGCCTCAGGGCTCTGTAAGGAATCCTAAACCAAAGAAATGGTTTAATAAAAGCATTTCTACCTGCACCTAGTTTACATGCTGCATTGCCAAGTGAAAGAAGGGAACTGAAGGACTGTGGGGGTGGGTTTTGAAGCAAGGTCAGGCTGTGAACCCTGAGCCAAATGAGGGGTTTTGTCACAGCACTTGCTGTGGTGCTTTGATTCAGGTGTAGCCATGGTCAAAAGTGTTGTTAGACTCAGTGTCTCCGTGTGGAATACTCTCCTTTAGTAGAGAGCACTGAGTTGGCTTCAGATGCTATAGAAAACCATGCTTTAGTTGCCACTAAAGAAGCAAATCCCAGGATAAACATCTAATATGGATTGATGTATTTGTTTCTTTTCTGGACTCTTCACTCTGAAAGCTTTCAGATGACCAAAAAAATCATTTTGGTAGCTTAAAACAGAACAAATGAGCAATAACTGGAAATAGAGCCTATAGAGGAGAGAAATGAGTGTTTGGCTTGGGAAATAATTCTCTTAAAGTCAGACAGGTACTCAGGTGAGAGGGAAGCTGACGTGTCTGGCTACAGCCTGATAAAATCTGTTGCAGTACAGAGGGCACATAATGCAGAAAAGACCCCCTTTGTCTGCTCCTTTAATAAAATATTCTATTTGCATGCTTGCTGACTTGAAACATTGACCAGTATAAACTGTAATCACTGTGGAATACAAAAGCAGGTAATTTTGTGGTCTTTCCCTCTTTTTAAAAATAGATAGGGTTTTATCCTGAAATTAGCTATATAAATCATGACTGAAGTTATTATTGTTCTGCCTCAGCAATAGCACTGATGTCCTCAACCCATATATTTTCCAGCAGTGCCATTTTCCTGCTTTAAAAAGAAAACTAAGGGCTGAAAATGCATTATGCACTTTGAAGCTGGAATGTCCAAGTTGTGCAGTCTGGGTGAGATCAGACTGTCTGCTAACTCCAGTGAGCTCAGTGGAGCTATTGATAGTAGCTATGCTTTATTCCCAGCATGCTGTAATACTGTCAGCAGCTCCCACTGACCTTTTATTTCCCATATATTATGCAGAGATCATGTAAGAACTCAGGAATCTGAAGTTTCCATGACATTAGATGCATCATCTTCTCACATGCTGTATTTTTTTTTTCCCTGTAAGACCCACAAATCTAGCAGGTTGGGTTGGGGGATGAGAGGAGTTCCTCAGGACTGGAGGGATGCAGGACAGAAACTGAGTGTTCTCCAGGAGCTTC